ACTAAAACTACACTGAGGCAGCATTAGTGATCCCCCGTGTGGCAGAGTCAGAAACTTCACAGAGCGTTCTGATGGCAAAGCTGGGGGGAAACAGGCAGCCTGCCTGGTGGACTGCAAGACGGCACCCACCCCGATGGCGGGGACTTGGCAATACCGAGCAAAACCTCCTAGGCCTTTCCTTTTTACTCAACTGTCACACCCCTGACAATATTCTTGGAGGACACACTTCCAAAATACGAAAGTGCTGACAACAATTAGTGCCGCAGTAGTTGTTCATAATTGCAAATACTGAAACTACTACGGCCACGTATATTTGTGCATTTTAGTAGGAAATGCTGTATTTAAACTCAGTGGAGTACCATAAAGCCATAAAGAAATGAGAAAGATCAGCTTATGAAGCAATAAGAATGGGAAGAAGAAAAAGAGAATCACGTTACATCACGTTACAGGTACAAACAACCTACAATGAATGTGATCATTCCGTATACCTAAAATGCACCTAGACATAATTGAGTATTTATAGCATAAAATCTTTTGTGTAAGAAAGGAGAAATTAAAATATACACAATTGTACTTATTTGGACAGAAAGAAATGTAGAGAGGACAATAGATGGGATGAAAGGGGTAGGAAAGGGAGCAGGATTCCAAGAGCACATTTGAACAGTTTAGGCTTTGTGATGTACGTTCATGTTCTACATATTAAAACAATATGATTAGACCCTGCACAGGGGAAAAGATGCTGTGTAGTTACTGGGCAACTGACAAAAAGGGCACATGGACTGCTGATGAACTGCCCTGTGTGCAGACAAGAGACTGCCTTGCGTCCTCAGGAACATCCACAGGAGCTGGACTCCGAAACCTGCTCTCCGAAGGTCGGCCCCTGGGAGCCTGAGGCAGGAGGGCTACGAGTTTGAGTCCAGCCTGGGCAACTTAGTCAGACCTGGTCTCAAAATGAAAAAACAGAAAAAGGGCTGAGGATAGAGCTCAGTGCACAGGCTCTGTGTTCAATCCTCAGTACAAAACCAAACCAAACCTGTGTTCATGTTTGTATATGACAAAAATATACATAATATATATGCCATATATACATATATATATAGCATATTTGAAAAATATGGTGAATATGTAACTAAAAAAAATTTGTAACACGAATGGATGGGGTGCCACTAACCCCCCTCACGGTTCCCACCCTTCACTTTAAAGGTGCTTATCCCACAGTTCTTCACACTTGCTGAACCAGTTCTGGAAGTCCTTTTCCTCACATCTGTAGCTGCTGTTGTTGCAGCCCCAGTGTTGAAAACCTATTCAAAATGTCTACTTTTCCTGCCATTTTGACTCTGAGGAAGAGCCAGAAGTCACAAGGTGCCAGGTCCAGTGAACATGATGAAGAGACTGTCGTGTTGTATGGAACTGCCTTCCGGTTCCGTGGCACTCGGCAGCCGCATTCGCCTGCTTTCCATCTCAGGCCATCACAAAGCAGGAGTCGCAGCGCTGCTTCACAAAGTAGCAAGTACAACAGAGCGAGTGTGTTCAAAGCGGAGGGAGTATTCGAGGGGGCTTAATGGCAACTTTCACTGTAACAAAGTTTTAAAATTTAAGACATCACTATGACGGACAGTTATTTCATTGCTTATGGTAAGCATTCTAATGAATGTAAAATAAATCCTTCCCTATAACCAGACTATCAAAGGACTACAGAAATGCAGCTGTGCCTGTCTGATTATAAAAATCGGATTACAGATTTTTGTCTTTAGCAAAATTTGTTCAGTTACATAATCTGCACCATCAGTTCAAGTACTTAAATGTAGATAAGTTTCATTTACAAGCTTACAGTATAAAAGTACTTTTAATTTTTTTTATTTACTTGTGTGTGTGTGTGTGTGCGTGGCCAGCTCAGTCCACCAGGGGGCGGGGCTGGCTGGCATGTGTGCTGGGGGATTGAAAGCGGTCCCTGTGCTTTGCTAAACTTGTTCTAAGTAGGTGCTTTAGACCACTGAGCCATCTCACCAGCCCTATAAAAGTACTTTTAAAAATAATTTCAAGTAGCAAACTTTAAGCCAGCACAAGCATGAGTTTGGTGCATGAGTGCAGGAACCATCAGGCTACAAGCAGCTGAGAGACAAAACGGGAGACGGCGCCAGCCAGCCCAGGGCCCAAGGCAGCGCTTCGGGCCAGGGCACCACACTGTGCAACCACCAGCCGAGAACCTTGTAAGCCACTTTGCCACCTCTGATGTAAAAGCATTCCAGGTGGAATGTCCTTTATTTAACCTGAAATGAACAATAACACCTTTTTTTTTTTTTTTTTTTTTTTTTTTTTTTTGTACAGGGGATTGAACTCAGGGCTTTGGGCTTGCCAGCAGGCACTTACGCCTCTGAGCTGGACCCCTGGACCAACACTAACATCTAAGGCACACACTGCTGATGGTTTAATTAAAGGGTTACTGATGATGTGGAAAACTTTTGGATGCTTAGATAAGTACCAAGATACCTTGGTATAAAGCTAGAATATTTAGCTACCCAATACGAGAGACATGTAACTTATTGTTTACAAGTCGTATGTCAGGGAAACATAGGCATTTTGATATGGGCTTCATTGAATTTTGAAAAAACAAATGCATTATTACTTTTAAAATTTATTCCTCTCCTGCGTGAGAGCAGACTGGGAGCCCTGAGCTCAGTAATAAATGGCTTTCCAAATTAAAAAAAAAATAAAATAAAATTTAAAAAGAGCTAAAATCAGATCTAGTGATCTGTCATAGCATATACAAATGTGCGTAGCAATAACAACTTACATCAACTAAGACTAAACTTCAATTATTTTCTAAAATATTAAGTCCAACATTTTTAAAAGGAAATAAATGATGGAATGTGGACATTTTTCACTCCAGGGTACAGAAGCTGTCTGAATTCAAAAGCCATTTTTAGTATGCACAACTTTCTTAATAATTTTACTGTCAACCTTAAAATGCCACAAAATACTATGAATTAAATGTCTGACAGATGCAAAAAGGATATCAGATTACATCGGGGGAAAGCTGCATTAAGATATATTAGCTCAAAAAAAAAAAAAAAAAAAAAAAAAAGATATATTAGCTCAGTGGATTAAGTGCCTGCACAGGGAACATTGAAAACAGGAGAATCACTATGAGTCTGGGCTGCGTAGTAAGAACTTGTAATAAGATATATATATTATATATATATGAATATATTTAAAAGAAAAAGTTCACACCCAGAGCTTTTTCTTAAATGAAGTTTTGTTTTATTTTGGTGGCTGGCTCGCTGGCACGGTGCCGGGGATGAAGCTGCCGTCTGCCTGCTCTTGCCTAAGCTTGCCTCAGTGCTTTACACCGCTGAGCTATCTCGTCAGCCTCCTAAACCAAATTTTCCAATAAAGAATTTCATGTTTTATGAAAATATAAAGCATTTTTCTTCTTGAACTTTTGTATGTAAATTTTACCAAGCTTGCAATTCCTACAGTGACAAGCTGAACCAGGCGAAACATGTAAGGCAATGTACATATAACTTTAGAAGGCTAAACGTGGTCCTGCTGCATAGATTTAGCATCACTGCATAGGTTCTAAATTTGTTGCAAAACTATGTATGCTCACCTCTTCATCTGAAAATTGCGATTCCATTACTGTACTTGTACTTATAGGCGGGAGCGCCACCTGGTGGCGGAGGGACAAAGTCTAGCCGCTCAGGCAGAGCGGGAGCATTCCCCATACTCCAGAGATATTGTAGATTCTGACCTGTACAGCGATTCCATGAGCACGCCCCTTCTAATTATCTGTTAAATTTCATGACCTCTCTGTACTTACTGCAGGGAGTAAATTCAGAATCTTATTTAAAAAATGCTTTCCATGTCCCTGAATTCAAGGTTATCTGCCTAGATGCGTGACTTTTCGCAGTGGTCCTCTGTTGATGAAAATGGAAGAGACTTATCCTCTGGTAAACACGGGAGGATTCCCTACAATTGTTTCCTCAGTGTATTTTCATTACTTTTCTCTCACAGCTTCAAAAGCAATTGTAAATGTGCTGGAATCATCCGAAAGACTTCTACACACCGACATCAACAGCTCTGAAAATTGTCACATAAAAACAAACACACTTAACTGTGCAATACTATTCAATCAAGAAGGCTTTTCTTTTTTGTTTTATTCCCCGTATTCCTAGAGCCCGATGCACACAAACTATTCACAAAATGAATTAGTTGCAGAGATTTCTTCGTCTCTAACTGCATGAAATCGCTTTCCTCAGCGGCTCACTGCATCCTAGGTAGACCTTCTCACACCCTAGAGACGCTTTGAAGAGAAAAGCGCCCCCCTTTCCCAGGAACCCTTGGGGTGCTTCAGTGACCACACCTTCACTCGCCCTCACCCAGGAAGACATCAGCAGAGCCGGCCAAATAGCTCAGCAGATTAAAGCGCCTTCAAGCAAGCGAAGGGGCTGGGGCTTCTGTCCCCAGGCCTGCGGTGCCTGCCCCACCCTCGGGGTGCGCTGAGACAGCAATTGAGACCTGGCATGGTGGCGCGTGCCTGTAATCCCAGCTTTTGGGAGGCTGTAAACAGGAGGATCACTATGAGTCCCATCTAGTAGTGAGACCCTCAACACCCTGTAGACCCTTCCCTAAAAATACAAGACAAAACAAAACAGAAAACAACAAAACAAACAAACAAAACCAACCAACCAACCGAAAAACAAACCACATCATCAACAGCGCGCTGGCGCTCCCCGCCACGGAGTGCAAGCTGGGTACCCGGGGCAGTGAGCTTTACTGGCTTCAAATAGGAATTTTAACTGTTTCATTTCAGAGTACCCAGAACCTCTAGGAAATTACTAAAACTTAGAAGGGGTTAATTTTATTTTTGAGACAGTCTCACAAGGTAGCTCAGGCTGGCTTCAAACCACAATTCTCCTGCATGGGCCACCACGTCCGGCAAGTTTAAATTTTATTAGCCCTTTCCTTCAACTCTGGCTACCTAACACTGAGATACTAACCCGGTCTTTGATCAGGAAGCAGAAATGGATTGTAGTGCATTTCTTTTTCTTCCTAATCAAGGACAACCTTCAGACAAACTTCTTACTGTGCGAGCTATAGATAAACATGTCAGAAAAAACATTTTAAATTGTACACAACATCCTATAATAACAAACAGATTAAAAAACTAAGGAGAACTAATACCATATTTATGTCGCTTAAACACGTTAATTTGCCTCTTAGTAAATTATTAGTAATTTATCCTAATGGTCATGTGAACTACATTAAAGAAGTAATACTGAAAACATAAACCCTTTTACTTTAGTTTTTGTTAAGTCTTCTGCAGATTCCTCAGTTAGGAGCAATAGTTAACAGATACTGAAGTGCAGACTTATCTTGCAGTGGTTTTTTTCCTGTATCTTGGCAATTTGGAAGGTTCATTAGATATATTATCCTCTGTTTCTTCTTAAAGAATTAATGCTTATGAAGGGATGATCATCACTGTTGTCCTGAAATGACAGAAATTTTAAGTCAGGGACTGCCCCATCCTTCCCTGAAGGAAGACAGACACTCTTACAGCAAAATAGTACCACTGAGAGTCACCTTCTTTTTCCACCTGGAGTAGACTGCATTTTGCTTCCTTTATAAATGTGGAAAGTATGAGTCCAATTAAATCTCAGTGAACATTAAAAATACAATTTTATACAGTGATGTATGTGTGTATGTATCTGCAATTGTAGAATATTTATATTACCTCAATTATTAACCTTAATTAATGCAAATGAGGTATGTTAAGCCAGGGGAAAGAAATCAGACTACCTTTTTTGGTTTCTGAATACTAGTAGCTTTTTTAATTTACAATTTATTACAGGTGACTGCTATTCTGTAAATTCAGGAAAAATATAATAAAGCTACCTGATGTACAGCTAACTCAAAAACAGCTGTAATTCTTTGTTACCATTGTGCATTTAATGCCAGAATAGAAAACTACTCTCAACTGATACAAGACAGTAGCTTGGGAAGTAATCTTTCAAACACTTTTTTGGAAAAAACATAAGGAATTATTTCAGAAGTTCCCATGTTGATAGACTGTGATTATATGCATGCTAATAATACAGAGGAATATGGAATATTAACCAAGAAGTTAAAGGGATTGAAAACAACCACCAAACTTCAGATAAACTCAAGTTACATAAATTGATTACATTCTGTAACTAAACATTCAGAAGATAAAAACAAAGTTATAAATTTCAGATTTTTTTTCATTAAGACATTAATAAAAGAAATTAATTCTTGATGTCAGACCTTACTGGTGATATTAACAAATCCAAATATTAGCTAATGTAAAAATCTGATGAGAAATGTATCTTAGGACTGGTGAGATAGCTCAGTGGACTAAGTGCCTGTCTAGGCAAGCACAGGGACTGCAGTTCAATCCCTGGCACCATGTGCGGCACTGGACCCAACCCCGGGTGTGCCGAGCTGGCCACCGAGACTGGGCATGGTGGTACACACCTGTAATCCCAGAGCTGGAGAGGCTGAGACAGGAGGATCACTAGGAGTCTGAGCTGACTAGTGAAGCCCTGTACCAAACACATTTAAAAAAAGATGTCTTGAAAAATACAAATTGACTTTCATGATTGATTTTCTGCTACTATAATGTTGAAAATCAAAGGCAGGAATGTATTACAGATAAATCCAAAGTGAAGTATAGGACAGAATCTGCTAATAGTTTTCTTTACAGTTAAATGTGAATTAGCAGTCAAACTCGTCACCACATGGCTACCCAGCTGCCTTGTGCATTTTCGCCTGGAAGCAACACGTCAGCACTTCACAGATACACTAAGCTTTTGCTGTCATTTTGCTTTGAAGCCTGATTTGTGCTGAGCCTTCTTAAGCTGTTTAAATTTTTAAAAATTTATTTATTTATTTATTTATTTGGTACAGGGTCATGCTGTGCAGCCTGGGCTCATAGTGCTCTTCCTGTCCAGCTTCCTTCTCCACCACACCCGATCTCAGTGGCCAGCACAGTGTGCATGGGGTTCCTGGGGACCGGTACAGTATGTGGTACCGGGGATCAAAACCAGATCCTTGTGTTTTCCAGGCAGATGCTTAGACTGCTGAGCTCACTCCTCAGCCCAAGCTGTTTTAAAATTTTATAGAAGGCAGATAATAAAAAAATTTGGAGACAGATCTCCTGTAAAAGTGAAGGGGACCAAGAGCTGGAGAAAGGCCAGGGGAGGGGGACAAGAAAAGAACTAAGATGAGTCATGTAACTATACCAGCTCTACGTACTACAAACATGTGCAAATGAAAAGCTAAAAATTGGAAAGCATTAGAGCTGAGACAGAGGGCACACGACAGCAGCAGCGGATGCTCCGAGGCAAGAGGAGGCCACAGGTTAGGGTGAACCTCAGGGACACACTGCAAAGTAAACAGGCCAGTCACAAGGACTGTGTGACTCCACTGATACCAAGTACCTAGGATGGGCACATTTATAGGAGAAGAAAGTAGATTATCAGATAGCAGGGGCTGGGGTGAGGGGCAATGGGAACCCAGTTATACCACACTGAAATTTTAAAAACTTGTGCACGAAGTTAATATATGTTACCTAGAAAAATTTGAGGAGCAAAAACTTGAAGAGAAAAAAATCATATTGTGCTCCACTGTTATGGGCATTTAAATGGTACTCTAGGCATTTAATGGTTAAGGGCTACACAGTTTCAGTTTCACAAGATCAAAAAGTTCAAAGGACCTGTTTTGCTACAATGCGAATGCATTTAACACAGCTGAACTGTATACTTCATGACTAAGATGGATTTTAAAAAATGGCTAAGATGGTACGTTTTATGTTATGTGCTTTTACTACAATTAGAAAACCTTTTAAGTAAAAAATAGATAAATGAAAGGGAGAAACACTTTCAAGCAATTTAACAAAAACTTACAAAAGCTCTTGCAATGGCACTCACGGACAAAAGGGAAAGGCCGGGATTCTGGAGCTCTGATTCAACTAAACTGAAACGCAGATAACACACAAGAGCAAGTCCTAATTGTACCTCTTCCCATCACTCTGCATTAAGTTAGAGTACACTTTAGTTTATGAGTTAGAGTTTTTCACTTGACAGCATTTTGGTCAATGTCCAAGTACTTCTAGGGCATGAAAATCACCACCGTGTACCATCTTATATATGAAGCACATGGAGCACAGAGTCGTCCTTGATAAGCGTTCTATTAAAGTAGCATTAAAGTTCTTATATTATCATCGCCATCATCTCTTCAAACACAAATGGCAAAGCTAAAAACCATCCATTAACTGGGCAAATTACGTAAGAGCTGAGTGGACGCCATATTTTAACAAGCTGCATAATTATAATGCTGAGCACTCCACAAGGTCATTTTTTGATTTAATACTGTAGTTCTAAGAAAGACTTTTTTTTTTAAAAAAAATAACTATCTAGCAGCCTCTAACTTAAAATTTAAAAAGTTTAAAATTTAACATTTTTATTTTATTATCTCTTCTGATTCAAAATCAGCCCCCTTAGCTATTTGGCCCTGGGCCATGTGGCTGCCGGATGATGTGCTTAGCCACCTGGGGGTGGGGGGAAGGCAAAGCCAAAGATGATGAGCTACAGCGCCTGTCAGAAATGTTCTAGATCATTCCTTCCATCTACATTAGAGGCTCCCAACATCATAGAGCCAGCGTTTGGACTGCAGGTTGATGCACTGTGCCAACTTGAGACTTAAGCCACTGAGCACGGAGCCTGGGGAAGGGGCGGGGAGAGGGTGAGTGCTGCTCCCACCCGAGGGTGGGATAGCCTGCTTACAATGTAAAGGAAAAAGAGGGTTCTTCTTCCCTTTTGCTCTGGTTGTTTTTGCTGCCTTCTCCTGCACTGGACTGTTGCCCTGTGCTGTGCCAGCCCGCCTTGCAGCCAGCTGAGTATGGACTGAAACCTCCACAAACTGTGAGCTAAATAAACCTGTCCTTCTTTAACTAGGGGTGTTGGGTTTTTCTCAGCAATGGCAGAAAAGTAAGCAAGACATCCATTTACTAGCTATGTGGCTCTTATTTATTTATTTATTTATTTATTTTTTGAACTGAGAATCAAACTCAAGATCTGGCACTTGCCAGGCAGGCACTGTGCTATGTGACTTTAAACAAGTAAATTCTCTGTGCCTTAATTTCATTTATAAAATAGAATTCTTTCTTTTTTTTTTTTAACCTACTCAATGTATTAATATGCTCAAACACTTAAAATAGTGTCTGATATATTAAGCACCACACAGATTTTTACTTATTCATTGTTATTACATATTAAAATATCTATTACTACTCCTTACTTTGGAAAACTGTGGCAACATAAAAAAGGTTTTTAATTCAAATCTGTTCTTTCTGTAAAAGGATAAAGTGATTTTAGGAAAGGGCCTTCACTCTCCAAAGCTCTTCTTTCTACCACAGTACAGGGTCTAAGGGAGACGTGACCACCATAATTAAGGGTCTGCATCACCGGGCTTCACACGTAATTATATACTGATTTAACATACGTTATAGATTCCAGTGGGTTCAGCTACAATTTATGCTGCCTGACAGCAGTGATCATATTAGAACATTCATTATGTCTTCCATCAGATCTAATGTATTGCTTGCATATGAAGTATTAAAAAGGACTATTGATTATTTTCTTAAGTAGCTATTTTCACTGAGTGAGCTTTAGCTAAGGAGAGTTCACTCAATGTTAATACCTAAAAGAAAATAGTAATACTGAGTCAGGTCAAGTTTAACAGCATCTGGTAAGAAACAAAATGCACTGAGTATGTTTGCATGACCCTCCTTTTGGTGTTTAGCAGAGCACCATTCTTTTTTTGGTCTTTAAATTATTTATTCATTTTATTTTTTTTAAATCCTTAGGATATATATATTCCATAATTTTACTGAGAAATAAATAGCAATGAGACAGTTTCAAATCAAATTGGTAGGACAGTTCCAATAATTAACACATTGCATACTGCCTTCCTAGTGGTTATTTGTTGCACAAGATGCAGACATGATATCCTATTTACAAAC